AAAAAAAAAAAAAAAAAAAAAAAAAGGGAGGGGGGTATAAAATTTTAGTTTTATTTTTAGTTTGATATTTCACTAATGATGATATATAACATATGCTGCAGAAATTTGTTAGAAATTTCTAAGTTTGTTAAAAATTTCTTCACACTGAGAAAATAATAGTTTTTTTTCTTTATGTAAATATCCTGTTTTTAACTAACTTACGGGTTTTTAACAAACTTCCCATGGCATATAATATACAAAGTGTATATATTAGGTAGAATGTAACTGTTAAATCTGAAGTGAAATATCTCATTCCAGTATAATAGTCTATGTGGAAAAATACTGCATTGAATAAGTCTTTGTTTAACATTTAATTAAATTTTTTCCAGTCTTCGTATCACCATACATGTAAAAATGATGAAAAGACTTCAACTTTATACATACACAATGAAATATGATGTTGCAGAAAAATAAGGTGATATAATATTGTAATACTTATTTTCAAGTATAACAAATAGAAAATAAAATAGAGAACAGAGTATCAAATATATATTTTCCATATATAGATTATGGAGCTTTATATATATTATTAAGAAAGAACATAAAAGTACTCTTATCTCTTTTTTACGTTATTTTCTGCAACTCTCGTTGTGTATACGCGGGCATGTACATATATATATATATATATAAACATTTCAAGAAACGATAAAATACCGTACCTAAAGAATCGAGAAAATATGTACGTTATCTCTTATACGTTCGAAATTAAATTAATTTAAATTCATAATTAAATTCAGTTAAAGATTAAATATTACTTTTGCTTCAAGAGCAACAGTATCTTCTATGTGGTATAATGTGATAGCGCACATATAAAAAAATATTAATTAATTTTTATCTAGATTTTAGTTTACACAGTGAATAATCACCTAATAGGATATGTTACGTTACACAAGACACAAGTTGTATATAAATTATTTGGTTTTCCGGAAGATAATGTATGTTCATAGTTACATGTTCATAGATGCAAACAAATCAACCAATATTACGTCGCTACGCATACATGATACTCATGAGATTGATCCTCAAACTATTTCTCGAATATACATTACGTTCGATTACTTCGTGTGAGCATAAATTAGATTCAGTATTGATTTTATTTCGCGAAATACCCTTAATGGTATGAGCATATAAAATGCATAATTTATAATGTTTGGTTTTTATAAAAAGGTCCCACACCATATGTTACAACGAAAAGGATATTAAAAAAAAAAAAAATATGTCAGATACAGCATCAGGACGAGATCCTCAGCTGTTATCGCTCAGTCTAAAGACTGTTAACTGTGTTAACTGTGACACGCAACAGGGAAACGAATTTCATTCAATTCCCAGATTTTGGCTGATGTCTATGACACAAGCGAGTCGACACAACTTTGTCGCAGTTATACTTTGTCCACATACTGAGTGGACAGTTATATATTATGTACTGAGTGAGTACCGCAAGCTATAACCCCGTTGATATATGCATACAGTATATATCACGACAATGGGAGTAACGTATTTGCGGTTTGCTTATCTCTTGAACAGAGATGCTTCGTAAAAGTTTTCGGTGTGTGTGGACCATATCGAATTATGTTTAAACGTTTTCATATTACGTCTATTGACGTTATCAATTATGATAATTGATTTTCACGTGATAATGCACGAAGAGAGAAAAAATGACAAAATAATTTATGCTTACACCTTGTACTCCTTATATGCGTGAATGCGAAACATTTTAAAAAGAGGACCACATAATGATATTTTCGACGTCATATTCTATGTAACTTTTACTTGGGTATCAAGTATGTTTACGATGAAATTAGGTGAATAGCATTCGATAAGTGTAAGAAAATTAATAATAAGATAATGCTCTTATTTTTAAGTTTATTTATGTCTTTTTATGTTATATACTTGAAATATATTATTAACAATATTTACGGTACAGAGTTTGTAAAACCACCAAAAACCACGAATATTGTACACAACAAATATTACTTGTTTTTATACAGCGCGAATAATGATATTGTAAATATAAATGAGTAATTAATATGAGTTTGTTAAGTGGTGTACATTTAAATTGTTAAGCAAGAATAACAATTCTCTCTCTGTTGCGAGAGTCGTACAAAATGTAAATACATATGTATAATTATAACGAAATTTTACAAATTCTTTAATGTATCTATTTCGAATGAAGGAGACATGCTTATAAAATTAATAAAAAATAAATAAATTTTTGTAACTCGATTTTATTCATTTGCCTTTTCATTTTTATTACTTTATTTTATAAAATATATATCACAACAGTTGTGGAGTAGAGATGTACAAAGTATCCTTCATTGGGGTGTATCTGTGATTTCGCCTTTGTTCACATCTCCTGTTATCTGCGAAGAATATTTTATATTAATTGTTAACATATTTATAACGATGTGTATAATGTGTATGTGTATCAATTATAAATCTACGATAAGCCTACTTTGTTGTTTTTTAAAGCAGTCAGTTCCTCTTTCATCTTCCTTTTGAAGAAACCCGCCTGCAATTATAAATAATATATTTGATACACACTGCCTTCAACTTCGCGAGGAGATAATTCACAAGATATACGAAATTGCGGAACTCACCATGTATAATAAGATAATGAAGACACACAATAGAATTAGACCCAGCGAGACCGATACGAACACAACCCACAGTTGCAGTTCCTGTGTCTTTGCGGTGCTGTGAAATTCCGTCGTGAGATTCATGTCACACCTGTAATACGTAATGCACTGATTAATTAAGTCGCGTTGTATCGAAGATAATTAAGAATTTACGTGAAGAGAGAGAGAAACGTTTTGTAAATATTCACTTAGTGTCTTCCGCGCTGGCGATTCTATTAACCGGCTGTACGATCTCGACATGAGCTTCTGTGGTGAACTTCACGATCTTCGTTTCGTTCGATAGTCCAATAGCATCTTTTAAATAAAACATGAATTATACTTTGATATTTGAGACTTTCGCGGTGTCCATGAATAGATTAGATTTGGTTTCCGGGTTTGAGCCACGTGGATTCTTTTTTGCCTGATTCCGTTCCATCGGGTCGTTCCTTCCTAATGAAGCGAACTGAAATGTTCACGAAACGTCGGAATCAGACAAAAAAGAATCCACGCGGCTCAAACCCGAAAACCAAATCTAATATGAATTATGCTTGGATTAAATTATAAAAAGAATACAGGTACGAATACGAATATGTGCGCGATCGAGTACCTCTGAGCTCTGTAGCATTTAGAATCAGTCTCATCACAAATTTGCCGATATTCTGTTGTGTCTTCAGTGCGCTCAGATCGCAATGCACCATCGAACAATTCACGTTGGGCGACGAACAGTTCAGATGCACGACATCCTGTCGGGTCAGATTGCCGATTGAATTCTCGAGTTTTATCATTCTCATGGTGTACAATGCCTGAACGAGGCGAGTCCCCAGAGTCATATGGCTGTTTATATCTCTCTTGCGCAATTCACGCGGTACACTTCGCGGCGTCATATTATCGAATATAGGCATATCCACATTGGACACGTCCGACGCTATTTCGTCTTGAAACTCATTCTGTTGAGCATCTATCACATCTATCCCAAGCGACAAACAATCGCGATATTCCCCAGCTAAGTATATCTGGAAATACATATCACTTTGCATACTTTTTATCTTTGAGAGATTAATATTTTCTTCTGATTTTTCTATTTTAAATAATTTCTGTTAATATGAATTTCCTTCATACGAGAAAGTTGTAAAACTTCTCTCAAAGTGGATACGATGCATTGAAACTCGTAATATATGGTGACTCTAATCCGACTAACAAAAGTTATTTCGAAATTGTTATGATTGATACACACCCTTGGCTTATGTAGAAATACTAAAGGACCTGAGCCGTTCACATACGTTGGAATGTTCACGAGAAGTCGCGCTCTTTTTATCGGCGTCGCGCCGGATTTCAATATTTGATATGTATGCTGAAAGCTCACGTTCAATTGCTCCTTGTCCAAGTTGGGTAAATGGTAACTTTCCTCGTTCGCTTTTCTACAATGATTAACGGCAAGTCACTTTCAGTCATTGAGAATAATTTGTTTATACTTTAGCCTTATATACCAAATATATACCAACCCACTCAATGACAGGAACGCTTCGCTCTGCAAAGTGAGCAAGGATTTAATTGTACGCATGCCACGATTCACGCTGCGAGTCCATATCTCCGTGGTGAACTCCAGAACTTCCCCGTGTAGCGAGCCGTCGGTGAATTGTCTCATATCCAAATCCAGTTTTACAATTTTCTGCGAGTACGAGTTTAGCGATGGATTACTCAGTAAAAAGGACTCTACAGCGTCTTCTACAATGGCAGTAGGAGTAGTAGTAAGAAATAAGCAGTAAGCAAATTGACCAATTCCATTCTCATGTTTCAAAAATAATCGATTGTGATTAGTCTATTTACTTACTGCTTATTTCTTACTACTACTCCTACTGCCATTGTAGAAGACGCTTACGACTCGATACTCTTGATCCTCATGACTCGATTGTTCTTACCAGCTCATCTTTCCCAAGTGGATTACCGACATTACAGGTAATCGCCAGCTTGTTTCCGACCGTATCCTCCTGACAAGAAGGTAAGATACTGCGCAGTACTATGCCGTACGGGAGAGTAAACGTGATCATCGTGAGATACGATGGCTCAGCGTGATTCACTAAGGACGCCGTTAGGGTGATATCGTTGGATCCGATAATCCACGAATTATTATTTCTGCAATTTTAATTCTTTTGATGACTCAAACTTTTCAATAAATCATCTTTCACGCAACTGTGTGCGTGACACTCGATACTTTACTTGCCTGACGCCAGAAAATTTCACAATCGCGGTTATGTTGGAGTTGCAGACTCTGTCCGCTCCACATCCGATATCGAAGGAAAGTAAAGTCTGCGCGCCTTTCGACGTGTCACTCTTGCGTTCGACCGGGCAGGTCTTGCAGAAATCGTGCGCAGGTGAATCTTTTTGGGTAAACTCATGCTGCGCGTAAATAGTAATTGGCTCGATAAAATCTTGAATGTTTTTCTAGAACATTGAGATTGTCGGTATATATCGGCACACCAGATAGCACAGAGAATTCAAAAAAAATTCAGTCGTATGTCACCAACTCTGAATTCATTTTCAGATGCAAAAAGAATTCTTCAGAGTTCAGTTCAGTGAAAAGAATCTTTTTTGCAGCTAAAAATGAACTTAGAATTGGTGACATACGATTGAATTCTTTTTTAATTCTCTATGTTATCTGGGACGTTATCCATTAGCAACAAATCAGTGCAATTACATAACTTATATATACAAAGTGTGCCTAAATACAACTGAAAAACTTGAAAGATTGTTGAAATGAGTTGTTTCTTCGCTACGACATACGAGGTCCCAGAAAGCACATAATATTTATAAAATATTTTAGAAACGTTAGAAATATTAAAATAAAAATTTTAAAATAAAAAAAGTTTAGAAATATTAAAATATTTAAGAAATATTTTAGAAATAGATATTAAATAATTTATAAATATTCTAATGTCCGAGATTTTCAGGAAAAAGATTATGATAAACATTTAAAAATATTTATGAAAAATATTTACCATAAATCTTTCATAAATTATAATCTTTTTCATAAAAGTATTTATGAAAAATATTTTTCATAAATATTTTTAAATATTTATTATAATCCTTTTTATACTTGTGTGAAAATCTCGAACATTTGAATATATCTATATAATATTTAATATCTATATTTCTAAAATATTTTGTAAATATTGTGTGCTGTCTGAGGTATTCGAAAAAGACCGGGACCTCGAAATATCTAAAAAATATAAGTTTTATAAAAAATTGTTTCAAACATACAAAATAGGGTGTAAAAAGATCTTTTACGGCTTCGATTCCTGGCTTAACAAACTGTGTTTTTGATTTTCTCCGGGAAAAAAAACGCAGGTGGACACAGGTGGCGACCGCAAAGCGTTTCGCGCACCTGGTACGTGTCTTTTTCTTTTATGGTTCCCTAAGCATCATTTTTGCAAATGGATTTAGGGTCAGAAATGTGTCGTTTTATCGCTACGGCATATGGGATGTTCGAAAAAAGTCGGGACCTCGAAATATCTAAAAATATAAATTTTATAAAAAATTGTTTCAGACAAAAGTTATAGGGTATAAAAAATATCTTTTTATTTGATTTATTCTATTTGATTTACTTTATCTTGGAATATTTTATTTGATTTATTTTATCTTGAGATATTTTATTTGATTTATTTAATTTATTTTATCTTGAGATATTTTGAAATTTCGATCTTTTTGAACACTCCGTATGCCGTAGCGATGAAACAATCTATTCCCATTTACAAAAAATGATGTTTAAGGGACCATAGAAGGAAAAGACATGTACCAGGTACGCGAGACGCTATGTGGTCGGAACCTGCGTCCACCTGCGTCTTTTTCTGTTCTTGAAAGAAAAAAATATCGAAAGCGCGGTTTACTAAGCCGAGAATCTAAGTCATAAATCTTTTTATCCTTTTGGAAAAACTTATATTTTTTTAGATAAGTCGCAGCGAGACGCCGTGCAGTCAGAGTCTGCGTGTCCCCAACAATTTTTCATAGTTTGTCGGTTGGAAATACTCTGTATATATAAAATACTGTATATATGAATCCTTACCGAAAGTGTAATACTCGTATTCACACATTTATCACGTAGTATATTCACTGAGAATAACTCCAGTGAAGTCATTTTGGTACGCTTATGTTTTTCGTCTATGGTCAAAGAGATCTTGAAAGCTGTAAAGTACAAAATCAAACTTATCCCAGACAGCACACAATATTCACAAAATATTTTAGAAATATTAAATATATTAAGTATATTAAATATATAGATATTAAATATTTTATAAATATTCAATGTTCAAGATTTTCAGGTACAAAGAGGATTATAATAAATATTTAAAAGTATAAAAAATATTTTTCATAAATGCTTTTATGAAAAAGATTATAATTTATGAAAGATTTATGATAAATATTTTTCATAAATATTTTTAAATATTTATCATAATCTTTTTCATACCTGGAAATCTCGGACATTAGAATATTCGTAAATGATTTAATATCTATATTTCTAAAATATTTTGTAAATATACTATGTGCTACACAATATTTACAAAATACTAGAATATATATAATAGTAAATTTTATATTATATATTTATATTATATATATATATATATATATATATAAATTTATATTTATATATATATATATATTTATATATATATATATATATATATATATATATATATATATATATATATATATATATATATATATATATATATATATATATATATATATATATATATA